CATGAGGCCATTTAAGCCAGCAGCTAAGGGAGACAAGGATCTTCCAAAACAAAAAATGGCTAGACCATTCAAGCTCCTTCCACTTACACCATCCAAAGCAGAATCTTCATCCACAAGACCTGCTTTAAATTCCAAAAACTTTTTCACAGTCCTAGTAGATTATCCAAATTTACCAAACTCTTCTCAACAAAAGCCCCAGAGGCCAAACTACCCCCCTCTACCTCAAAGTCTAAATTTGAGACCAACTGTTGCTCTTGAAGCTTCATCCTCCCGCCAAACAAAAACAGCTTACACGATGAAAGCCCCTGAGACTTTTGCCCAAGCAGTCAATCCAGAATTGACTAAAACAATTTCCTCAAAACTAAATCAAAAAGAAGAATTTTTTGACTTTCAGGTGTCATAAATACTACCTTTGATGGCACTCAGTAAAGAAGTATCTAACATGGATGTTGATTTATTAATAAAACCTTGTTACACTGATTTTAATTATGTGGATACAGATAATCCACTAAAAACCAGGAGATACTTTGAAGCCATACTAGTGGATACAGAATCCGTCGACATCGAGCATTGCAAAGATGCAGATAATCAAATCATGTATTCCAGGATTACAATCAAGAGAATACTAGAACCAACAGAATGGTTTGCAGATCATTTTCACACTCCAATTGCTTTGACAATGACACACCGCCCACAGACTTATAACTGGTATGATTATAAGGTTGAATGGATGAACTTCCTCTATGTCAGACCAAGGCACACTTGGTTTATTAAATACAACACACCACTAACAAAGGCCATCATCCCACGATGGTTTTATGAATGGTGGAATTTATTTGGAGGCACCAAGGAAATTCTACCCCAAAGATTCTCCGCTAGGTATGCAGAATTTCAAACCCAGGAGGAGATAACAACATTACCAGAGCATATAAAAATATGCAAATATTACATTAAGAAAATAATCTCTTATATCATCACCTGGAACTTCGTCAAAAGCGAAATAGATCGCATCAATTATTTGTGCAAACAAATACAGGTAAAAGGTTGGGTTCCTAAACAGCAAGGAAATTCAGCAGTACAGAACACTGAGAAGGTCCAGACTTCTCAAAAGAAATTATCCAAAGCAGCCCTCAAACAAAAATTGAAGGAAGCTATGGACAACATCGAAGATCATTCTGAAGAACAGATCTTCAAACTACTCAAGGATGCTGCTTCTTCTGAAGGAGAAGATGACGATAATGGTGACATGTGCAATCCCAAAGGTTTAGCCTTGGCCTACATGGACCCAGATTATGAATAGGAAATGAACTTTCGCAAAAGATAGAGGCAAAGCCGGAATTATCTTTTGCGTTAGCAACTTTCATTATTCTTTAATGAATAGGAAATGACCTTTCGCAAAAGATAGAGGCAAAGCCGGAATTATCTTTTGTGTTAGCAACTTTCATTATTCTCTAAACTGGCATCCACTGAGAGGCTAAAGGACAAAGCTCTTTTGGAAAGCACTATTGCCTTTATCAAAAGAAGATGCATTATCAAAAGAGAAGATTCCCATTATCTTTTGATAGCCCCCCCCAGTGTCGGCAATATCTCAGCCATCCACTTGTAAGCCTTCAGATAAAAGACATTTATTTTCCCTCTATAAAAGAGGATTAAATTCCCATTAGAGATCATCAGAAAATTCACACTGTATTCTGAATATCTCTTTCTCTCTTATGTATAATGAAGTTTGCTTGAAGTTTGAATAAAAGTATTTTTCTCTGTAAGCTTTCTTCTCCTTTAATTCCGCATTACTTATGATCCGATTTCTGTTTGCCTGGACCGGCATTTTGACCCTTTGTTTGTGGTCTTAGGCCCACTCAATTTGTACCTGTCCAAAACTATTCAAGGTAACAATAATACAAAAGGGCTTAGGCCCAAAGATAGTAAAATACAATTTTTAAAAAAATAAAAAGAGGTCTTTTTGGCCCAAACTATTCAAATCTCAGACTTCTTGGAATTTTCAAACCACAATCTATTCATCGATTTTTAGAACTTATTGATTCGAGGGAAGGAAAAGCAAGTCTTTACAACTCTCTCAAAATGCAAGGGATAAGTGAGTTTTTGGCAAACTTGAACGGATTCACATGCAAAAAAAGGAATGAAGTTGCGAAAGAGATAAGTATCCAATGAACACATGAATAAACAAATAACTAAAGGAAATGGAGGTAGATATGTGGATCATTCTAAGATATAAGTATGGGTATAATACTGACACACTTATAAACACAAAATGTAAAGAGTTATATCCCAAGTAAATGATGATTACAGACAACAATCACGACTAGGATATATTACTCGTAAAAAAAGAACTTATTAGCTAAACATAAAAACATGATAAACGAGGCATATAAAGGCAAAAAGACTAAGAAGGGAAATCATCATCTAAACACATTTAACTAAGACTCTTTAAATCTGTAACTTAACAATGAATGAACAAAGGGGTGCAATTTTTTTTAACTAACTAATTTCAAAAAACTAAACATTTGCATTTTATCCTGTAATCCACGAAAGACAGTAACAAAAATATGGTAAGGCATCACATGCATAACAAAAGTAAGAAAAAATATAAGAAAACAGGTAATGCTTCAAATGGCAAGGGGAAATAAATACAAAAACTTAATATTATTTATTATTATCATTTTATTTATTCATTTATATGTATATTATATTACTACTGTTATTAGTGGAATTAGCAGTAACAACCCAAAATATAAGACAAATTAACTTCTCAAAGGTGTCACAAGAGACCCCATTGCAGCTGCAACTCTAAACCAACTAGAGATTAAAAAAATAGCTCTAACAGAATTTTAGGCAAACGAACAAGAGGATAAATTAAAAGCAGTAACCACCTAAACAAATAAAAAAGAATAAAATGAACAAACGAGTGTTACTAACTTTTTTGAAAGAGTAAAATTGTGTCACATGTATCATTCGAACAAAGAGGTCAAAGCTCGAGCATAAACTAGAAACTACAGATGTAAATGACGCACAAATTATAAGCTAATTCCATCTTTTGACCTCAATCAACCCCCCCTTCCTTTTATGGCATTCTATCATATTGACATATACTAAACATACAGTTAAGAAAGTGGACAGAAGTAGAGCCTTAGACAATTCTACCTGAAATTAAGAGTTTAACAGATCATATAATGAGATATTGTCCACCAAAGAGATAATATCCTGAACGATCTTATGAGTCGAATTTTAGTAAAAGCAAGATTTTTTAAAAAAAGAATAGAGAAGCAAACGAAACCACATATAAAGTGACTAGATAGAGGTAAGTAAATTTATACTTTATGATCAGTCGAAGGACTAATGCCAACTTTGAGAAAAAAAAAGAACTTCATTACAATTAGTTCTCCAAAACACTAATGCGAACCAAACAGCGACAAACCAAGATGACCACAAAATCGATACTCACAAATCTATCATGGACTAAGACTAAGGAACAAAACATAAAACAAACCTGGAAGTAGGAACTAGCTAATATTTATGTTGAAACCAATTTTAACTTCATCCAATAGGTCAGGCTCAAGGCGAGAAAGAAACGATTTAAGGAAAAAGAATAAGAGAAAGAGTAGATGCGTAAACGAAAAGGAACAAAGCCTCACGCTTTAAAGAGACTCGACTATTTTTATAACATTTATTCTTAGCATGATTTCAGCCAAAAGAAAGGAATTTGAATCAAGCTACTACATTAGAGCTGAACCCAACTAAATGAACATGATCCCAGATAAATATACTAAAATGTAAATAAAGACTCTAAAAACCCGTCGCTCCAACTAGGATAAATCGCATATAAACTAGACATGAATTCGCCAAAAACTCATTAAACAGTGGCCGCTGGCAGAAAATATAAATGGCTTCAGAACTTCAAACTTAAATAGGGAAAAGCATTTTTTTGAAAATCTAACAAAAGGGAGAAAAACATTTCGCTCTAAGAATAAATAAAAATGGTGCCACAAGGCGGCGGTCTACTGCTGCATCAGTGAATTTTAACTTTAAACATACTTAAAAACCCAATAACAAATAGAGACCCAAGCTGAATGATAGAAAAAATATACTAAAAATTGAGCAAAGCATGCCGATGGAAACTCGGTAAAGGGTTCAGATATAACGGCAGCGGGGAGACAAACAACTTAACCTTATAGCATCAAGAATTAACAGAAGAGCACTCAACCTTAACCATTTGAAATCACCATTTATGTTAAACTCAAACTTACGTGAAATCTTTAGTCATTGGCTCTGAAGACATAGAAGTTAAAGAATCAACTCAAATATTTGGAACTAACATTACGAGCAAACGAAAAGTCTTTCAAGCACTCATACACACATCAAAATACCAAAGATTACAATGACAAACAGCTGCGACACAGGCCTCCAAAACACTCGAAGGCAACATCAGAAACATAGTATATGCAAAATATTATGAAGAAGGAGGCATTACCTTCTTTGGCGCAACGAGTGGGATAACAACGAGCTAGACAGGGACCGGCTTCCACCACCCTAACAGGAACTCGCACGCAAAAAAAAAGCATAATACTTCGTCGGCAACTAAGTTTTGCCTAGGACGCCTCACTATATCTCTATATCGATCTTCTCCAGAAATTTCCTCAAACTCTCTATGATAAAAAAACTTCCGATTAAAAATCTTTCTTCCCCTTCTCCCTTTTTTTTCCAAAAATTTCTCCTCCCTTCTTATAGTGAATGAAAAAGAATATATAGATGGGAAATTAGGTTTGAGATTTTGGGGGAAAAAGGGAAAACTTGGAATCCCCAAAATAAAAGTATCAATTCAAATTTTCAAGGGCCAAAGAACAACTATCTTTTGACGAGAATTCCACCCAAAAATCCCTCAAAATTGTGAGGATGCAGGGAACGGACCGCCTGGATTCAACCCAATCGTCCTTGTGGTTGACGTGGCCTTCATTCACACAAGTCAAGGACGAGGTTGAAGGTTTGGAACCGCTCTGTTGTATGGATAAAGCTAATGGAAGATAAAAATGCAAAAACAGTTGCTCGATTTATCGTGTAACTTGTGTGTATCACCGTGAACTCTCTCTTCACGCTATACCCATTGCTTTTGTCACGTAGCGAGATCGTCTAATAATGCTATGTATTTGCCGTTCATGCGCTAGAAGAAGAGAAGACGATGCGGGTCGGGTTTTGGGTTGCTGAGGTTGAAGGTGGGCATCGTTTCTGGGAGTGTTTACGTTACTCTGGATTGTCCTTTGTGAAGAGGAAATTGGGCCGGGTTTGGATGCGAAAAGGGCTGGATTGGGATTTTGGGGTTGAAAATATGGTGTTTAAAAGCATGAAAATGGGCTGGTTGAAATTGGGAAAAAAAGGGAAGGGAATTGGGGGTGGGCTAGACATTTTCAAATGGTTGGGAAATTGAATTGGGCTAATGGAAAAGAGAAGGAGACCCAAAATTGTCTGAGAACTAGAACACTAATCAATTAAAAATTATTTCGCAAATTCATCCGAATTAAATAAATGAGATAAATTAATTATAAATAAATTCGACAAGCTCCTTAATCATAACGAAAATAAATTAATCAATTTAATTATTAATAATTAATACAAATGCGTAAATTATTAAATGGCTAGATTAAATAGTTAAGTTGTTTAAAACAAAATAAAATCTATTGGAACGATTTTCAGATATATATAAAATAACTACTTCTATAAATCATATATATTATCTAAAGACTATAGAAAAATTATATAAGGAAATTTTAAATTTTATAAAATTAAATTATTTCCAATCGCTTAGATTTAGAAGCTCGTTAATCAATTTCTACAGGGGAGGGTCAAAAATGGGTGTCAACAACTGTCCCTCATTTTATTTGGATTGATGCAAGAAATGCGAGGAAAATGAAATTGACTAATCCAATTTTGGTAGACCACATCTTAATCCTCTAGAAAGGGCTTCTGGTATGGTCTTTAAGAATTATGGCCGAACCCCGGAAATGGGTCTCCTATATATCTCAGGCTATATGAGAATTCAGGCCACTTATAGTTCGATACACTTGATTTAACTCACGATTTTGAAAGAAACGTGAAGACATCTCCATACCAATTTATGAAGGAATCGAGATGCTCGAGAATAAGTTCTAAGAGCAAATGTTGGAGTATAGCCGAGTTTTCAATATTAAGCCTACCTACATATTCTTGGACTTAGGAATTAGGCTGTTTGTAGTTCGACTCGATCGGTTGAAAATAAAATCTATTATGCTAGATAACCTTTGGTTCTAGAAGAGTGACAAATAAATTCGAGTATGAAAAAGAGGCTTGCAACCTCTTATCCATGAAGGTGGAGCTCTTCACATCTATGGGTACATAATTTCAAAAACTCTTGGTATATTGCCATTCGAATTGGAAACTTGCTTCCGTAACATACCGGTATTTCCGAATCCAAGACCGAAACCAAGAAATCTAAAGAAAACCCACATGCTTTCTGATAGGGGTGTGTTTTGATTGTGGTGGAAGTCTCGTCCTCTGCTCATGTCCTAAAAGTTTGACACTCCTCTTTGGACTATGACCCAGTTCGCTGCTAAGAATAAGTTTCTCGTTGCGTTGCATCATTTTTTATGTTGTTCGCACTTGTGGTTCATTTTTGGAGATTTCATCCTTTCAGATACTCTCTACAAAAACTGAGATAAAACTCGTTAGCATAATAATGCAATTCAAATAGGAGATAGTATCTTTTACCACGTTGACACTTAATTGCTCTCCTTCAGCAATTGACGTCAACTCGATCAGTTTGACGTAAAGCAAATAAAGCTTATGTCTAATGTTTGCAATATAATCTTCGATGTACTCTCCATTTGATGTCAAAATAAGTAAAAGTTGATGTAGTGTTGATATTTCTCCTGGTGTCGTCTTCGATGATTCTCTTGGCATTCACTCTTGCCAAATGAAAGATGCAGCTGATATTGAGGTATAAATATTTTTCTTGAGATGCACGTTTTTTTTCTCTGGTAGTGCATGATTTCTCTTTCGCAATGCATGATTTTTCCGCGATGCATGAATTTTCTCTTGCAATGTATGACTTCTTCTCCGCAATGCAAATTTTTTTAATGCATGAATATTTTCTCGTGATGCATGACTTTCCGCTATGCATGAATATTGACTCGCAATGCATGATTTTCCGTGATGCATGAATTTCTTCTCCCAATGCATGAATATTAACTCGCGATGCATGACTTTCCGCGATACATGATTTCTTGCGGGGCATGAATATCTTCTCGCGATGCGTGAATATCAACTCGCGATGCATGATCTTCCACAATGCATGAATATTAACTCGCGATGCATGATTTTCTGGGGCATGAATATCTTCCCCCGATGCCTGATTTTCTGCGGGGCATGAATATCTTCGCGCGATGCTGATTTTTTGCGGGGCATGAATATCTTCTCGCGATGTGTGAATATTAAATCGCGATGCATTATTTTCTGTGATGCATGATTTTCTGCGAACATGAATATATTCATGCCATGTGTGAATATTAACTCACGATGCATGATCTTTTCTCTTGATGCTATCCTTGCTACGAAATGAAGATATTGCTTCAGTCGAGCGACATAGTTATCTTCTGGGTGCCTTCTGGATAACCATATTAATTGACAAATAATGAAATGACCATCCAGGTTGTGTATCATTTAAATTGACAATACAAATAAAATGACCCCTCCGGATAGTAATAATATCATATCCGATTATATGACCAGATGACGTTCTTTACGAAAAACTGTAAAATGTTTCCTTGAGATTTTCACTTGATTCATCTTTGAATGAAGTCATATCTTCATTATAGACTTCATTATAGACTTCAAGTTGTTGGGAATTCAATGAAACAATAATGTTCACATTCCCAAGTCTCCGATATAAGTGATATAAAATATTTCTTGTATCCACCGAAAAATTGTTAATATTAGGGGAACCTTAGCCCCCCTTGACTTCTCCATATTCGTTGGTTGGAGGTATTTGATAATTTTAGAGCAAAATTATAAACATGTGTTCATGGAAAAACTATTAGTTTTAAAACGAACTGATATTTGTCGATTCTTCATTTGTCTGCTCCCTGTTCTGCTATCTCCGATTGATTTTTCTAATTCTTCGACTCTTGAGAGATAAGACAAAATGTTTTATGCTGAAACAAATGAAATAAAAAGGGAAAATTTTTAGAAAATTAATTTTTTGAAAAATTAGTATTTTGAGAAAAGTTTATTGCTAAATGTCATGTCATGTCAGGCTTAACAAACTTCTTTGAGTGTGATGCTTAAAGGTCTATCTGATTTTTTGTTGGGGAGTATTCAAAATCACTATAGAATACCGATAAACCCATGTTGAAATTTTGAAGCCATCTTTTATATCGGTGAGTAAATCATGGAATTTTTGAGATTCTTTCAAAAATTCTGTCCCAATTGCAAATTTCCCAGTAGCTTCGATATCGACTATTTGAGGAAAATCTTCTTCTTGAGAATTTTTGAGTCCCTCTCAAATATTCTGTCCCAGTTTCTATCATAAAGAGAAACAGAAATCTTACTGGAGATATGACCGAACCCTTTTGGCGCATACGTATCCTGTTGAGGCAGGAATCAGTTCAAACGTAGTTCCCCCTTCAAGGTTTAACAACAATAGTAAATTTACAAAGAAAACTACCGAGGCCAACATAGGCTTCCTACATATCTTATTCTTGAGAATTTAGGTCGAACGTAGTTCAGATACAAAGAAATATTGAAAGGAATAAATGGGGAGACCAAGTCTGACATAGGCTGCCTACGTATATCATTCTGGAGAATATAGGTTGAATGTAGTTCAGATACAAAGAAATATTGAAAGTAATAATGGGGTGACCAATGCCAACATAGGCCGCCTACGTACATCATTTTGGAGAATTCAGGTCAGAGGTAGTTCATTAAAATATGGATAAAGATTTAAACAAATAAAATACAATCAAAATAGAACTCATAGAAGGAAATGACAGAAATACAAACTAAGCTTCACACGTAGTATCTCTTGACAGCATGTGAGTTGATCGGTTTTGGTCATACAGTGCCATTCATCTCCGATAGGACCAAAGCACCTGCAGATAATACTTTGCGAACTATGTAAGGCCCTTGCAAATTCGGTGCAAATTTTCCTTTATACTCATCTTGGTGAGAAAAAATGCGCTTAAGGACTAACTGACCGATTTAAAAAATTCTGGCTCTGACTCTTTTGTGAAAAGCACGAATCATTCTCTATCGGTATAGTTGACCATGAAAAATGACAACCATTCTCTTCTCATAAATCAATGTCAACTGATAAATTCTCTTGCTTACCCATTCAACATTACTCAACTCAGCTTCTTGGATGATTCTCAAGGATGGTATCTCGACTTCAGCATATGACTGCTTATGTTCCATAAACTAGCAAATATGGAGTAGCCCCAATCGGTGTTCTGATGGTCGTTCGGTATCCCAACAAATCATATGGCAACATCTCATTCCAACCTCAATGATTGTCAATCATTTTCCTTAGTATCTTCTTGACGTTCCTATTGGCGGCCTCTACAGCTCCATTCATTTGAGGACGATAAGCGGTTGAGTTTTGATGAGTAATCTTGAACTGCTCACGTATATCTCTCATCAAGGGACTGTCGAGATTTGCGCCATTATCAGTAATGATGGACTCTGGCACTCCTAATCTTTATATCAGATTGTTGCAAACAAAATCAGCTACAACTTTCTTGGTTATCAATTTGTAAGAACCTGCTTCCACCCACTTGGTGAAATAGTCAATGGCAACAAAAATAAATATGTGTCCATTAAAAGCGGATGGATCTATTGGACCAATGACATCCATGATCCAAGCTAAAAATGGCCAAGGTGAACTCATAGAATTGAGTTCGTGAGGCGGCACTGGATCAAATCACCGTGCACTTGACATTTATGACACACAAACTTGCAAGAATCATGCTCCACAGTCATTCAGAAATAACTAGCTCGAAGTATCTTCCTTGCCAAAGTGATTCCATTCATGTGCGTACCACAAGCTCCAGCATGTATCTGTTTAATAAGCTTTGCAACTTCAACAACATCGACATATCTGAGATGACCTAAATCTGGAGTCCTTCTATAAAGGACTTCTCAACTCAAGAAGAAGTTGAGGGCCATACGGCGTATCAACTTTTTCGACGTGGCAT